TTTGCTGCCTATGATTTCTTCTAGGATTTTTATGGTTTCATGATTTACATTTAAGTCTTTTATCCATTTTGAGTTTTTTTTGTGTATGGAGTAAGTTGGTGGTCTAGTTTCATTTTTTTGCATGTACCTGTGCAATTTTCTCAACACCATTTATTGAAGAGACTCTCCTGAGTTCATTGTATGCTCTTGTCTCCTTTGTCAAATATCAATTGAGCGTAATGGCTTGGGTCTATTTCTGGGTTCTCTGTTCTGATTCATTGATCTATATGACTGTTTCTGTGCCAGTTCCAGGCTGTTTTGATTATAGTGGCTTTGTAGTATAACTTGACATCTGATATTGTGATTCCTCCAACTTTGTTCTTCTTTCTCAAGATTGCTGTAGCTATTCAGGGTCTTTTTTGGTTCCATGTAAATTTTTGGAGTGTTTGTTCTAGCTCTGTGAAATATGCCATTGGTATTATAATAGGGATTTCATTGATAACAAACTATCCAACTGAAAAATAAGCAAAGGACCTAAATACACACTTCTCCAAAGCAGACATATAGATGGCCAAGAGACATATGAAAAAATGCTCCAAGTCACTAATCATCAGAGAGATGCAAATTAAAACAATAATGAGGTATCACCTCAAATCTGTCAGCATAGCGATCATTAATAAATCAACAAATGACAAGTGCTGGTGAGGATGTGGAGAAAAGGGAACCCTAATACACGGCTGGTGGGAATGCAGACTGGTGCAGCCACTATGGAAAACAGTATTGAGTTTCCTCAAAAAATTAAAAATGGAACTGCCATTTGATGCAGCAATCCCACTTCTAGGAATATATCCTAAGAAACCCAAAACACCAATCAGAAAGAATATATGCATCCCTATGTCATAACAGCACAATCTGCAATAGTTAAGACCTGGAAACAGCCCAAGTGGCCATCAGTAGACTAGTGGATAAAAAAGCTGTGGTAATTTACCATAGCTAAGATTTGGAAACAGCCTAAGTGCCCATTAGCAGATGAGTGGATTAGAAAACTGTGGTACATCTACCCAGTGGAATACTACACTGCTATAAAAAAGAAGGAACTCTTACTCTTTGAGACAGCATGGAAGAACCTGGCGAGTATTATGCTAAGCGAAATAAGCCAGTCAGAGAAAGACAAGCATCACATGATCTCACTTATATGTGAAATCTAATGAACAAAATAAGCTGATGAACAAAATAGATCCAGAGACACAGAAGCATGAAACAGACTGACAAATCTCAGATGGAAGGTGGGGGTGGGGAGAGATTAACCAAAAAACTTATATGCATATATGCATAACCCACTGACACAGACAACAGTGTAGTGAAGGGCTGGGGAGGGGTACAGGGTAGAGGGGGTCAATGGGAAAAAAGGGGACATCTGTAATACTTTCAACAATAAAGATAAATTTAAAATAAATAAATAAAAGAAGTCTACAAACAGTGTCTGTAAAGTAATTTGCCTTAGATATTCTGGATATAAATATCTTTGTTGGACATGTGATTTACAAATATTTTCTTCCTGTGTAAAGCTTGTCAGTTCCTTGCCATTTTGACACTGTGCATAATTTCTTTGGCCCACAAGAATTTAAAAATTTTTATATAAAAAAAGCAGCCTTCAACTCACACCTGAATTTGGAAGTTGGATACTTACAATCTTAGTCCATACTTTGCCTATTTTCTCCAAACACTCCTTTTGTGTGTACTAAGGCTGACCCAGATGAAATTGCCAATAATTAATTGTTTTTTGGACCCTCAAAAACAACAATTTAATGTGGTCTGCACTAACTCCTTGAGGGAAGGCCACATTCCTCTTTTGCATGTTTTAAAATTATATATCTACTCCTAGTACTTACTAATTGGTATATGCCATAAATTTTAGTTAAAAAAAAAAAGACTTCACATCTCTAAATTAGGGTTGCCAGGAAGCAAATGGAGGGTGTGGTGATTATTGGTGAGGATGGTTGCTTAAGGCAAAGTCAAACAACAGTTTCTATTGCCTGAAAATTTCAGAGAACCAAAATGTTGTTGAACCAGATTGTTGATATTCAGGGTCAAAAATATAATACCAAACTAAGATTATATTTATGAGGACCAGCACTAAAGACTAACTAAATAAATGAATAAAAAATATAAAGGCAAAATTAAGGCTAACTAAAAAAATTTAAAAGGGCAAATGCCTCAAGTTAAAGCAATCAAATCCACAATCATGAATATTTTAATATAGATAAAATATATTTGAAAATAGAAACTAAGTTTTACTGAGAACCCCAAAGAAAGGCAATTCTTTTGGTTTTAATAATTTAAATGTTATTTATCTTCTTAGTGTCCTTTTAAATATAGCTTTCTTGATGTGTTGGATCAGTGCCCTGCTTGTAAATCTATATTGTACTCTTGGCCTAAGCTATATTATTGAAAACAGGTTATCTTCCAGTTCTAGTATTGACAAGTCTAAGGAATAACGCTGGCTATCTTCCTAGATTTCTCTATGTGCTCTTCTTACCTACAAGTTAGAACTAAATAATAATCAATGACATACCACAAATACATATGTGGCAAGTCTGCTCATGTTACTCCATAACATTAGCTTAAAGTCAGTTCAGTCTAGAATTATGGAGACGTAAAAAGCCTGGAGATGAATTCTGTAGCTCAACACATATTTTAGAAGGGAAGAAATTCAAGTTCTCAAGAAGTCATGCAAACTGTCCCCAGTCCACTCCAGCCAGGGTGGCTCAGTGGTTGAGCATGGACCTATGATCCAGGAGGTAACGGTTTGAGTCCGGTCAGGGCACATGCCTTGGGTTGTGGGTTCAAAACCTGGTAGGGGGCATGCAGGAGGCAGCCGATCGATGTTTCTCTTTGTCCGATGTTTCTATCTCCCTCTCCCTGTCCCTTCCCCTCTTTATAAAATCAATAAAAACATGTTTTAAAAAATTATCCCCAGTCCTATTGTTGAGAGTGACAGAAATGAAAATAGAATTCTGGTTTCCAAACTACTAGCATGATATTTTTTCAACTAAAATGCAACAGGTTCTAACATCGGAAACTTTAAGAGAGAAAGAGAGAGAGAGAGAGAGAGAGAGAGAGAGAGAGAGAGAGACAAATGAATCATGAAGGAAATACTGCATTTTGGAAAATATTGTAAGCAAAAGTTTCTGTTAAAAATCAAATTACAAAGGGAGTACCAATGTTTTATAGAACATTGAACAAGAGGCTACTGAGTCTATTGCAACTCTCAAGTGGCATCCTCTGGATTAAATTTCTCAAGGAAATTGTATAGGGTTAGGAAGTCCCACAGCACTATGACCAGATATCTTGAGATCAGATTTAGGAATTTAGATGATCAGAATGTTTGTTGAATGAATGAATGAATGAATTCAGTGTGAATGAATGTGTTCTCCCAACTATTGAACCCCACACTCTAGCACTGCAAAAGAGTAAAAGATTTCCTAAATTGCCTTGGAAACGGAATTTACTTCGACTCTGCTGTAGGTCCCCAAATAAATAGCCATTAGTTCCTTCGAGAATCCTGAAAGGTTACTAAACTAAACCACAGAAACACCAAATTACAGGCAACATACTGGAAGTTTTATAATAACAAATATTATTAGTAGGGAACTTCATCCATAATTTCCTCTAAAGGATATGATGATCACACAGATTAAACAGGACCAAAGAGAATAACACTTCAAACTGACAGCAGCCTGGAGTAAATCTGCAGAAACACTAAGTGATCCATTCGTCTGAAACCCTGACAGTCACCCAGCATTTCAAAGCTCTCACGGGTCAGTTAGGAACTGCAAGGCTATTCCAACACAGACCATGAACCAACCATGACACACAACAGGAAACAGGCCAGTCTTTCAGGAGGATGTTGAAACAAGTTTATGTAAAGCACAGTTGAATTTTTCAAATCAATTTAAGCTTCTTCCTTCAATCTAGAGTCCTTTTTTTTTCTAACATCAAAAGCATCAGATTTTAGTGACTTAAAAGAAAGCTCTCTCTCTAGGTTTTTCACACTTGAATATTTTCACAGTCAAACAAAGAAATGCCTAGGAACATGAAAGCTCGGCCTCCCCAAGAACAACTGACTTGAAACTTGATCGGAATTCAAAGCCTGAAATGCTACCATCAGCTTAATTACAGTTGACTTAAGCAATTCCTTTCTTTTGAATGAGCAGTCCAGATTAACTGGGATTATATCACAAACTATTTAAACCAGAAGCTACAGTGGCGCCATCGGTTAGTGCGCGATACTTATAAGACAAACTATTTAAACCAGTATTAGGAAACCCTGAAAGATATTTTTAAAAATTAAATAAATTTAAAATTTCTTACTGCTTTTGGACTGAATTTATTTTTATAATACTTCTTTCACTGGTTGGTCTGATCGGTCTGACCAACCTTAAATGAAGAAGTCACTTGGTATTTACATTTCAAGTCTAATTAATGGCAAAACAAATTTGCATTCTTTGACTTCTTACCTGTGGCACACTCCCTAAGTAGCACAGAGCTGAAACAATATTTATCTATCCACTTCATGCTCAAAATGTTCACACTATAAATCCAGACTCAGTACTCCATTAAAGAAATCATCAAGAGTATATAAAACCATTCATAAAGTGTTGATTTCTGGTATAATTATTCCTTCTAACTTGCCCTTACCTTTATTTCCAGAAGAAAAGTTTTGCTAAAAGTGGCACAAATGTGTCATAGATCAAGTGGCCAGGTAATCTATCAGCCACTTCTGACAGGGAAAGGAGGTGCTATAAGTAATGAGGCCAGGACCACAGGTGCAAACTGGGCTGCCTCGGGGAAACCAGGCATGTGGGTGCTGTATGCCTCAGAATCCAAGTGAGGGCACACGCTTACATTTCCAGCCTTCTGACGGTCATGGAAAGACCCCTAATGAAGAGGCCCGTTCAGTCCAAGTCTTGGCTGCCATGTTCTATCCGCTCTCCTTGGCATCGCATCCGCTCACTTACCCGACCACCATGTCCTTGGGTCCAGCAGTCACGGTGCAGATCCCGTCCTCACAGTGCTTCCCCACCAGGCTGTGTGCATGCAGGTGGATGCTTTTCCCATTTGTGACCAGCTGAACAATAACCTTTGCAGGTCCCATATAGTTGCAGATCTATGTAAGAAGCACATTTTAAAAGTGAGTGCATCTGACTCAATTGCAGTGTAGAAAAAATGCTTAGGACAAGCCAGTAAGTCTAAAAAATATGCTCTGTTTTTAAAAATATGTGATGAACAAATGATGGGATGGAAATACATCAAAATGCTAATGGTGGTTGTTTCGTGCGTGGAGGACCTACTATTTGGTAGCAGACCAAATATAACACAGTCCGTACTGTTGAAGTTGGAACACCACATCTTTAGGATGCTGTGTAGCCATGAAGCACCCTCTTCCTACTAACCAAGAATACATTTTCATCTGCACCTTCATCACAATTTTCAGTCATAAAAGTTGTATAAAAGATCTGTCAGAAGGGAACTGGGATTGATGGAGGATGGAAATCAAGGGAAGGAGTGATGTGAGCAGGCGCAGTGCATCCTATGTCTCTGCCATGAGATAGGCAGGAGAGTCTTGCCAGGAACCTGGCTCTCAAGGTTGTCAATGGACACCCCAGCTCACAGACTAGGGTTGCAGTGATTGGTTAGGAAACTTGAGCCTGGCACTCTCTGCTATGAGCTCTGATAACTGAGTTGCAGATGCCCAGATCATAGTACTTTTCTTCAGTTCAAGTAAGTGCGCTTCCACGGTGCAAATCCTTATATCTGACACCTACTGAGCTCTTATTTCAGTGGTTCTCAACCTGTGGGTCGAATGACCCTTTCACAGGGGTCGCCTAAATACATCCTGCATATCAGATATTTACATTACGATTCATAACAGTAGCAAAATTAGTTACGAAGTAGCAATGAAAATAATTTTATGGTTGGGGGTCACCACAACATGAGGAACTGTATTAAAGGGTCGCAGCATTAGGAAGATTGAGAACCACTGTCTTATTTTATAAAATCAGGTTTTCCCATTTAAGGTAATTTATCTTTTTTATTGTTATACCATTAAAGTAATAATACCACTAAAAAGGAAACAGCAAGGGGATCATTACATTTTAAGCAAAGAGAAGTTGGACAACCTTTCTCCTCTAGTTGGTCCTCAGACCCTTAGAGCAGACCACAGGTTCCTTCTCTGAGAGAGCCCCAACACTAAACTCATATTAACAGGAGAGACCAATGGCTTTAGTTTTCACTTTCCCAAATCCTATGAATCAGAATCCTGTCATAAATTCAGCCAAAACTGTTAGAAATTCATTATATCTCCTCAAAGGGTGACCAGCCATCTTAGTTTGCCCAGAACTGAGAGGGTTTCCTGGTACACAGGGCTAAGAGTTGGTCATCCTATCTCTGAAACTCATACTGCCTCTTTTCGAGGAAGTGCATGACCTAAGTCAACTCTACAATCATTAGAAATATTTTCATCTGCACAAGCAGCCTTTAGCTTAGGAGGGGAAACAAGTGGACCGGAATCCCATCCGGTGAACTTGAGGAAGAACCTACATTTGCCAATAAAATTTCTTGGAAACAGACTTTCAACCAATCTGCTTCTACTAGAACATCACCAAACAGATCCAGATTTCCTTGATGCAGGGTTTCATCAGGATTTTTCAGCATGGCTTTCCCCCCAATCCAATCTCTCATTGCAAGAATTGAGAAGTTGATATGAACTGGGATTATTCCCTACGAGGTTTTGGGGGAGAGACTACCCTGTAACCAACAGTATGGCTCCACTGGAAACCTTAGGGCCGCTCTGCCTGAACCTTGACTCAGAGCTGCAGCAAGAGTTTGCTTCCAAATCCTCTAACAGGCCTTCCCAAGGACCACAGCCACCTGTGGGGGTGGCCTCCTGTCCTTGTAGAGCCAAGCTAATCACAAAACATATTTAGGATTAAATCAGGTTTTGACTACCTCAAACCACAAATAAATAATTTCTTAAAGAGGTATAGCATCTAAAAAAGCCCTCTGGGCATAACATTAATTATGAACTTTAATGCTTTACCTTTTATAACAGGCAGAAAGCCTTTGTCCCTTCAGGACAGGACAGGGGTTGGAAAGTACTGGGTTTGCTCCAAAGTTGGCTGTTGTCCCTACACACTCCCTGGATCGTCGATGCCAGTTTTGTGCGTTTGGTGCTGACATCTGAAGTTGGTTTTTGTTATGAGGACACACTCCACAGGGGCTTCTTCAGCGGTAAATGAACAGTGGAAGCAGCACTAAAGAGATCATGTAATTCCACTTTTTAAGTGTACGAAGCACAGAAATGCAACAGTGTAAGGCATGGCGAAATGCTTCACTTGGGTGAAATCAGGCAGGCTTTCCACCAAAGCAGGACAATAGAAGGAATCCAGTGATTAAAGCCCAATCACTTAGGATATCTGGGCCCTTCAATGTCACCACCAGGAAGGAATCAGTCACTGAAGGGAAGAGGTGGGAGGTGCCCCCAAAAGTACTCACATCTTTTTCTTTCTATTACTTCACGATTAAAGGGTGGCAAGAATGAGGAACTGGGTAGTCTCTGAGGAAAGGTACCTGAAAATTTTGCCGATGACTAATGCGCTGAGCCATTTGAAAGAGTTCAGGTCGGCATGGCATCATCTGGTTTTTACACAGACCACAGAGCAAGGACAGGGAGGCCCCTGGGTTTTGTGGACTTTCCAAAATACTGACTGAGGGAAGAAAGCTGAAGTGTGAGACAGAAAACACATGGTACTGTTTTCAGGTTATATGGCGAAATGGGATTCTAACATGGAGCGGGGGGGCGGGAGAGTGTGATGTACTTTATAAAATGCCAGGATGGCTGAGGGCTCTTTGCAGTTGATTCAGAAATTCCTTTGTTTTACGGAGAATGTAATTACTTTTATTCAGCCTCCCTCTTACTTTTTTGAATAGCAGTTCCCTTGGAAGTTAAGTTTGTAGAAAGCAACTGTATCTTCCAGAAAGGTGGAATCATTTTGGAAAGAGTCTGAACATAGCAGGCTCTTAATTAAACACGAATGGCTCAAACACAAGGTAAGTTTTCAGTCACAGACAAGGAGGCACAGATGGCTACTTGAGTAATCAGCTATCAGGGGGGCATTGTCAGTGCAAGTACTTGAGGGGCAGACGAGCTGGGTTTAAAGACAGGTCTATCGTTTCCTAGCTGTGGCCTTGGGCTGTGTTCAATTCCTCATCTGTAAAATGGGGATAATAACAGGACCTTACAGGTCTATTGTGAGGATTAAATACGTTAATGCATGTAAAGTCTTTGGAACACTGACCAGTCAGTAACAATAGTGCACAAGCATTACCTAGTACCTTTTTTACTACTATAATGTACTTCTCTACCCAGAGATCTTTAAATAATATAACTGCCCTGAGATGATGTTTTAAGACCAATCCTGTCTAAGGCAGGTGATTAGTATAAATGACGAATTAAGGCCCCTTTTATCCCTAGGGCAAATCTTCTTTCCAGAGTGCCATATTTTATTGGGCTTCATTAATGTTCTAGTAATAATTATGTTATTATAGTAACAGCTGCCCTTCTTGGGGGCGCTCAGGATTCTGTGGCTTCCCTGACGAATTAAACTTTTCTTCCAGGAGCTTCATGACTCAATACCTACTGATGACCACAGGCTAGATCTGCTTTTTGAGTCAGAAGTAGAAACCAAGGTTTCAGATAATACCAAACTTAGTCAAACCACCTCCTTTTATTTAAAACAACTCTGCCATGCTCTGGCAAAGTACATGATTAAGAGAAGTAGTCTAGAATTTTCTGGGGATCAGAATTTGAAATGGCCAGTGTGCTTGCTGAGTAAATGTGTCCCTAGCACTCTGGCAGAATGTAGAGTCAACATGAAGGTAAGACGTGACACATGAACTAGTTCTTTTTCTGCTTAGTTTTCCTCATGAAGTGACGATAATGATGACGATAATTAAAGAAGAGGCAGAGGAAAAAGGCAATGTGGTTAATTCCAAGAGCTCAGAGGCCAAGCTGCTGGGCTCAAATCCCTCTGCTGCCAATTATTAGCTGGTCAACAGGGAAAGATGGTTAACATCTCTGGATATCAGCTTCTCCACCTCTATATGAAAGTAACAACACACTTGGTTTCACAGGATTGTTTTGAAGGATTAAATGAGCTGATACAGTGCTTGGAACCTAATGGGATTAGCAATCTCAAATATCAACTCTCCTATCCTCACTGATAACCAAAATGTGTTCACTTATTCAATAATTACTTATTAAGCCCCTGTATGTTTCATGCCCTGCAGTAACTCAGGGAATGAAGGGATATAGAGTGAGTGCAAAACAGACACAGCCCCTGTTTTTGTGGGAATTAAAGAACAGGACCAATAATAATCAGAGACTCTCACAAATAAATGCAAACACATAACTGTGAAGCACGGACAAAGGACATATTGTAGGGATCTGACTGGGTCAGGAAGTCTGAGAAAACTTCCTGAAGGAGCAATGAGGGCTGAGCTCTGGAAGAAGAATAGGAGTGGAACAAGGGAAGAGGTGAACAGGAGCCCAGGGGTTTGGGAACAGCATTCCTGACAGGAGGAACAGCATGTGCAAAGGCTCTGTGGTTAGTCTGCTTATTAGTCATACTCGCCACCACTTCTCAGTTTCCTTCAAGTGGTTCTTACCACCTGGGGGTGTCCCTTCCTTCTCTTTTCTACCTAGAACCACCTATTTCTCAAGGGTAAGACCTAATTCTCAGTCTTCCATGACACGCTCCTCACCACTTTAGTCCACAAAACCCCACTTCTGTCCCTTTCTTTGGGACTATCATTAGAGCAGGACAGGAAAACTACAGGCAACTTACTGCGATGAGAAGATGATAAAACCAGGTGGCAACTATAGGGTTCTCATCTTACCTCCCTTGCTTGTTAAATTCCCAGAGTACACACATCTGTATGTCCTGACTTACTGTTTTTATGGAAGGAAAGGAAACATGTTAACTCAGCCAGTTTTCACATCAGCCCTGTGGACGTCCATTGTGGTACCCCACTCCACAGCCGAGGAAACTGAGGCACATTAAGACCAAGTGAACTGCCATCTTTCCTATAACTGGAGTGAGTGGGTAG